CGGAAGGGAGGGGCTTCGTAAGAAAGGATTCAAGTCCTGGAGTTGCCTAGACAGCTTCCAGATCTCAACCCCAAGAAAATCTCTTGGGAGGGAGGTTGAAAGTCCGTGTGCCCAGCGGACAAAACATCCCTGTCTGTTCTAGAGGAGATCGTGCATGGGAGGAATGCGGCCAAAATTACCAGCCAACAGCTGTGCTAAAAACCTTGGTGGAAAACTTACAGGAAAAACGTTTGACCTCTGTCATTGGCCAACAAAGGGGTATATGAACCAAAGTATTGAGATTAACTTTTGTTATTGACCAAATACTTATTTTCCACCATAATTTGCAAATAAATTCTTTAAAAATCAGAAAATGTGATTTCTGGGATTTTTTTTTTTTCTCGCTTCTGTCTCTCATTAGTTGGAGGTATATCCTAGGGAGGAAAATACAGGGGGCCTCTTCATCTTTTAAGGGGAGCAACTTTTCACAATGGTGGCCTGTAGCGGGGTTTCCACAACTTCCAATATTTTACTAGGTCGACTTAGTTTTTCAAAATAGTAGTCGACTGCGGGGACTAGTCGTTACGTCATAATAAAGACACACAAAAGAGAGGCTTTACAACTGTATTTTCTATTGGACTCATACAGTAACATTAAACACGTGCCATTTTAATTTGTGTTACATGGGTGGAGTTAAATAACAAACACTGGACGTCACCAAAATCGACAGCAAAAAACTCTCTGCTTTACATAAATGCCCCACGTAATCCAGTGCGGCCAACAGCCGGCATTGCGCCAAACACTTTATTCCGGGCTGTCCTCCACGATAACGTCCAACCTTTCCATTATTTTTGGGTTTGAACACCAACGCAAGTCCGACACTGTGGAGGGAATGGAGGCTTGGATCCGCCTTCGGGTGACAGTGTTGCCTGCCAGGGGAAAAAACCCTCTTCACCGGGTTGCTTGTGGCTGCGAATAGCCAGGGCTAGCCTCCTCGAAAGCGGGGAAGCGGTGCACGTTTTTCTGCCCACCACTCCGGGTGGCTTATCCACTGTGATATGCGGTGTCCACTGGCCCCAGTGAATCCGAGTCATCATCCGCATCACTGTTGCTCGGTTTTCTCGCTTTCCCCCCCCCCCCTCTGTTCGTCTTGCCTCGTTCAGTGCTGTACGCCGGTCCGTTGGTCACTGGTGCTAGCCATTGACTGCTCGTGGCTAGCTGGTGCAGCGGGTTCATCTTTAGATGGTTGGCCGCATAGCGATGCCATTCTGTTTGTATCTTCAGATACAGCCCTCGTACACACTGACACTTCACTGGTGAGTTAGTTACATCTTCGTTGAAGTACTGTCATACATTAAGAAATGCTGCGACGGTGTTTTGTAGCATTTTGGCAGCCACCTCGATTACCATCCTTTTTTTCACCGATAGCGACCTAGGGCCTACAGCGCCGACTATGGTGGTAAAGGCTAGTCGACTTAGTCGACTAGTTCAGATTAGTTGGTGAAACCCCTTAGGTGGCCCTGAGACAAAACTTTGTGCCCCTCCAATGAGTGCTTATACTTTTCTTGTTTATACATTATACTTTTTATAATATTCAGCTTTTAAAATATTTGTTTGTGTTAACATGTAACTCAATGGGCCGGCACCTTCAAATCTTCTTTAACCTACACCTTGCCGCCAAATGCTACTCTTCCATCATATTTTCAGCTAGAGACTTCATTCCCACTATTACACAGAACCCATTCAAGGTTTGGTATTCAGATTTTGATATTTTTTACACTTTTAAATTTTAGTATACTCTAGTTTGGAGCTGGTAAAGAGGCCTTTTCTTTCCGATTTTAACATTAGTGTGTATTGCGGCCGGGCGCGGTTAAGTCAGGGAGTGCTTCGATTCTCAAAAACAGTAGTGGAGAGAGCTTGAAATCCCCGCCCAAATTCTTTTAAACCTTGGGCCATTAAACTCCCAACTCTATCATTCCTGGGACATCAATTTTTGAATGGAGAAATGTAGCGAAAACCTCTTCCTATGTTAAAAACATATATATTTATTTTAAGCAAAAACTTCAAATAAAATTTTACTCTTGAGGACTGCGGGGGACGGCCGTGAACAATTAGTTGCCCGAGTAAGATTTTAGCTGGCACCTCCCCCCCCAAAATGCACTCACTATGACTCGCGCATGCATGCACGTGCACGGTTGTGGCATGACCACCAAAACAGAAAGATATGGACACAAGATGTGTGCAAATGTATTTAGTATCCTATCCATTTGAACATGATTTAAGTGGGGGGTGGACCTCACCTCCTCTAGGGGGTCCGGGGGCATGCTCCCACGGGAAGATGTTTTTTTTAAATATTGAAGTTAAAAGCATCAATCTGGTGCACTTTGAGAGCAAAATTAAGAGATCTATGGAGACATCTCTCAACATCAATATGAAACAGAACTGTAAACAGATTTTCGTTTTCTTTATTATACAAATCACTCTCCTTTTAAACTCTATTCTTGTTTAATAACAACTTTTGTTTACTGTCATATAGTATTTTGTACCTGTTTTTCATCTATTCTCTTATTTTTTTATAGCTATAATGATCATATAAAGGTGTTCTTTACCTCACTGAGGTTATCAGAACCGTTCAGTCTTTCAGGAGAGAGCTCTCTAAAGCTCCCCGCGGCCGCTTACACAGTAAATACGTTTTTTGGGAGTTTGATTAATTTTAAATTAACACAAATACAACATTAAAACCTATAATTGCACACTAAAACCATTATTTAAAAAAAAAAAACTATTTCACATAAACCGCTAGTTTTTACTGGGGCTGGGGCAGTTCAACTTGATTTTGGGGGAGGGGGGTGCACCATAGTTTATGGGACTGATCCAAAATCGGGAAATTCTGTTGTCATGAAATATAAAAAAAAAAAATGTTTCCTTCTTTTTCCCCCCCCCAATTTTCGGCGCCCCCATGGGTTGATGCGCCCTTAGCGTTTGCCTATACTGCCTTTGCCAAGGGCCCTTCTTGAGGACAAGGAAGTGAGAAAAACTTCACACGTCTCCATTAAGGCCCATTGTAAATTTAGCCTCATCTTTCCTCAGTGCGCCAGCTGCACTCCTTCAGATAAACGGCCAAAGGAGCCACATTATTGACCCGAAAGTACACAAAAAGCACACTAAAACGCTCATCAGGGTCCTGACATGCTCACAGCGTAGACATTTTACCGATAGTAGCTAACGTTTTTCAACAATAGTTAGAAATGTAAGAGGTTTATTTCTCATTCAGAACAATGGAAAGGCTCCAAGCGTCAGATTCACTGATCACTGCACACAGTTTTTAGGGCCTGTGGAATTACACTTGAGTCAAGAGACTTGTCTACTATGTGTACAGTAGTATATCTGAGGCCATGCAATGAGAAACCTTTTGGAAAAATCCTGTTGGTATAACAGTACCAACAGTACATAAATAAAAATGATGATTTATTGTGAGTTACCCGTATGTACTCCAGCCAGTGTGTCTGATCGATAGCAGAGTGCCAGTGGGCCTCATCTATGGTGGGGTAAACCACGTCCTTCATCTTCCTCAGGGACTCCCTCATCACATGGATGTTGGGGATTTCCAGGAAGTTAAGCTCCACGTTTGGATAGAAACTCTCACTTTCAAACCCTCCATCCTTCGCCTGCAGGAGTGAGAATAAAGGCAAATCAGTTGACGTGTAGCTGAGGTAAGGGGGAGGAAACAGGAAGGACGGATGTGTCGTACCTTGTTGGTGACTGCTACACTGCTCTGCCGGGCGTCAAAGATGGTGAGCTTGTGGGACTGGGCGTTGGCGTCCATGATGATTTGGAGGTAATGCTCGTCCTCTTTGCAGCGGCGGTCTGAAGGGCCGACTAACGGCTGGCTGCAGCGAATGATGGTGGCCTGAGACTCTGGGTGGATCCAGGACAGGACCTGCAGGAGGAGCAGAGCCAGGTCAGAACCAGGGGGGGCTCAGAAAACACATCAAAGAGCCACAGAGCTGATTCTAAACATGGTTTTAAAGGGTGTTTTTGTCAATACTGACCGGTATGCGGTGCTTTGCTCGGAACACAGCCACCCGCTTGATGTCGTCTTCTGCGATGTTGGTGGGGATGACCAGGATGAAGGGGTAGGTGTCACACAGCTCATAGCTGCTGTTCATCTTACTGAAGGTCCAGCTCTCATTAGGGAGGCCCTAAAAAAACACCCAACCACATGAGAGAAACCATTACAAAAGTATTACATGTGATATAAATACAAAGTGTTTCATGTGGGAGAGAGAGGTTTGTTGTGGGAACGCTTGCCTGATTCTTAAAACCATAATATTTTTTTTGACTAGAATAAGGTTTATATGCAGATATCGTTTCACTGGAGGATTTTTATACTACTTGGCACTGGGTTATTTTGGTTCCCGAGATATCAAGTACCAATACCCTGCCAGTGGTACTGGTACAACATCAGAGTCATGAGTTTGTCTTTTCTAACAAAAAAACGTTTTCCTTGCCTGCTGCGAAATCTTAACCTCTCCCAGGGAGACTAGAGAAATGGTGTTACTTATAACTAACCATGACTATCCAACACTAGAAAGAGAAGGGTGAGCAAATACGTATTGAGTTGGTTGCTATTTAAAACCTCCCAGCTATTTGACACAAAATCCTATAGATTGGACCTTTAAATGTCAAAGTTTTGCAGGAAGCGTGGAGTTTCATTGCCAGTAACTTCACAGCAATTACAGAAAATGGCAGAGGAACTGATAAGATTATTTGTGTTCAAGAGAAAGTGAGAGCACCAAGGAGGATTAAACCTAATCAACAAATAGCATGGTTTTATAACTTGAGTCTGTAGAGTCTTCATATGTTATCAGAGAGAGCTGGATGTAACAGCAGCAGAGTGTGTTACGGCCCATCCACACAGCGGCGTGCGTTGAAAGCTGCACCATTCACTTTGAATGGGGTGACGTCACTTTTCGCCGAACTGCATTGTGGGAATGAAGCGGAGCCTTTGCGCTGGCGTGGCTCGCTGCAAAAGTTGAGCAAGTTCAACTTTTGGAAAGCCTCGGCAGAAGTGTCAGCCAATCGAATCATATGGCCGGAGTGACAAGTCCTTAGCTCAGATCAAACCGCTGCTTGTGTGTCAGGGGCGGGAGATTCATGTGAGTGGTTGTTGGTCGAGTTTCAGACACGCCCGCCGGCAAGCTTCAACGCACGCTGCTGTCTGGACGGGCCGTCAGAGTGTCATTGATTTACCTGACGTCTGTACTCAGCTGTCGGGTCGTACACCTTCCAGCCGTCCACAGGAAACTGCTCCTTGTACAGGAAGGCAAACAGAGGCTGCAGGAGGGAGACAGAGGACAAGTGTAAGTATTCAGTCTATCAAATTCACTTCATGTAGGAGAAGTCCCTCATTAATATCTGAATATTAGTTGCACTATTAAGTCTTGATTCTTTAATTCAAATAATTGATCAGTTCGTGACTATACTGCCACATCTCCACTATGTCCGATATCATTATCATCATTACAAAGACACTCTCTGCTTTGCAATGTCAAGTGCAATAGTATCATGTTCAATTACGTATCTGCCATTATGTTTTGTGTACCGTTACAACATCGCTCCTAACTGCACAGTTTCCAGTCATTATTTGTGCATCTTTGTTTCTTGTAGTTTGTGGTTTAATTTGATCTTTTACTGCATTGTACAACTTTGTTATGATTATTACTGTATTTATTTTTATGTTTATTGAACTCAATGTTTTGCAACTCCCGCGCAGGAATTTCCTTTGGGAAAAATAAAGTCTTATCTTATCTTACAATCCCATCAAAACATCCCAAAACCAAAAGAATAAAAACTAGCTCCACATGTATTATTTGTGACTTTAAAGTGATGTTCAGTTATCAATAATTGATATATCATTCTGAAATGGGCTGCCTGCATAATGCCTACTTTTACTTTAGGTTTTATTTTTCTATGCCTATACTTAGATTACAAATGCAATACTTTAACATGTAACAGAGTATATTTACACTGTGGTATTGCTACTTTCAGCATTCAGTGCACACACATCATATCTTGCCAACCTGAGTAAACACATGTGATGAGACTGACCAGGCTGTGTGAGAGGGGGAAGGCGTGTTTGGCCAGCAGCTCCACCACGTCTGGATTACTCTCCTCCGTCTTATAGGCGAACCTGGGACTCCTCATGTCCTGACGCAGGGAGGACATGACATCATTAATCATCAGTGCTATTGTAGACTCATCCCAGATTTAAAGAGAGGTGATTCTTTAGTACCTTGCAGACTAACTCCAGTCCTTTGGTGTTCTCTCCCTGGTTGGGGACACTGATGGTCTCCAGTCTGCTGATGACTCCCAGGTTCACATCCAGGATGAACGGAGACTCCTGGAGGAGCACAGGGGACATAAACACACAGTTCTACACAGAGAAATAGTCCAAGGATGTGAATTTAATAATGAATAAGATATTGACGTACCCTTTCCACACTGGTGAAGTAGAGCTTGTAGTCTGTTATGGTCAGGGTTCCATTAACCAGACCACTGAAGGGACAGATGTACATCACATCCTTCACTGCACGTCAACACAAACACACAAAGGTTTTCATTTAGGGCCGGGGAGTCAATATGTACATATGCTGTTCTGTTTTAAAGACGTCCTGTTGTACTTTTATGGGGGGTCAAATTCTGAATTAATAAAGTAACTAATAAATACCTCTGTAAAATAAATATAGTGGAGTAAAAACTACAACATTTGCTTCCAAAATGTATTAGATTAGAAATGTAAATTAGTATTAAATGTAAATACTCGGGTAAAGCACAAATACCTCAAAAAAAGCTACTTTCCACCGCTGTATGTACCTATCGCGCTTCTTTTGGCTAGTGCTCCAACACATTGTCAGTGATAGGCTAGTGGTCCAACACATTTTCAGTGATAGGCTAAGGCGCTGGACATCATTAGGCGGTTGACCAATCACAACAGAGCCGGCCAGCTAACCAATCAGAGCAGACTGGGCTCTGGTTTCAGACAGAGGGTGAAAAGAGGTGCTGGAGCACAGGCAGAATGAGAGAAATAAAGAACTTTTTGAACATTAAAACATGGGGACATGTCCCTGTGGAGACATTAGATACTAATGTGAACCTGGAAATGAGCAGAATAGGGCCCCTTTAAAAAAAGATCTTGAACATGGACAGTGTGATGAGCTTACCTGTGGTCTGCACTGTTTCTCCTGGCAGCAGAGGAACCTGGTTCTGGGACATAGTGACCTGCGCCCCGTACCTCAAAGCAGGAAGGTTCTGTAGAACAAAGACCAGTAAGTGGGGCTGGAGAAAAAACAGCATGCTACACTGACACAACACCGTACTCAACATGGTGCTACTGAGAGTTGGAGAGCGGCTGTACAGAATAGTTTATTGATGTAAACCTTTTCTTAGTATTTCATTGAGGGCTGCACAGAAGTGTTTTTTGGACTTTGTGATCTAAACTTAGGCCTTTTTAAGTCCAAAACATTTATTTAAAAAAGAGAAATCTAGGACAGCACTACTTAAACAAACTGTAACTTCAAACTAAATAAATGGCTTCTAAATGTGCATTTCCTTTTTGAATAGTTTCCAGTGGCTTTAAAAAAAAAAAGTCTTCTTGGAAAATGACAACTACTGCAGGCTAACCTCTGTTAATGAGAGTAAAATGCGTTAGTTAAAGACAAGCCGTGGTCTGCTTGGACAACACGTGGATTCACACTGCAGATGGATGCCATTCACTATTCAAGACTGTCCAGCAGAGCAACATGGGGAAGTTAAGAGAAGTTAAACTTCATGCAAGTTACCTCAGACGAGCGGTAGCAACAACCAATCAGCTAGCTCTACTTATTGCAAAAATAAATATAACATCACTGAGAACACACTGTTTGCTTTAAGTGCTGGTTCCCAGAACGACAAAGATAAAAGAATGGAAAAACACAATACATTTGATATATACTGTATATTTAACTTATGTAAGATTAATGTCCTGCCTTCTCTAGGGTAACAATCAGCAGGCATATGATGTCAATGTTATTCTAAAGATGCTGAAACATTGATCTGTATTAGTCAATGCATGAAGAGGCTTGGGGAGTAACAGATTACATGCAACATGTGATTATGTAATCATGATACAAAAAAAGGTAACAAATAAGAAATCAGATTACAGTAACATTTACAAATAAATAGAGATTACTAGCAGGGTGACAGTGTTACAATACATTTTGAAATAAAGGTTGATATATTATAGGTAGACGTAATGAATGAATTTCCTTTATGGTTTATTAAAGAAAAATACAGTCTATGCTTTTGATTATTGTAATAAGCATAAACAGCATTTGTAAACTATTACTACCTTTTTATATTAAGCGAAATATCTTGGTTTCTTCTTTTCTAAGGTTACATACATGTTAAGTAAAAACATTTTATTGTTATTTATTTTCTCTTGTTTTTGTTTGCATTGCATTTGATATTGAGGTAATCTAAAAAAAAACGGAAAGTAATCAGGTAAGGTTACTTTTATATTTTGATAGTCAAATTAGGTTACTGATTGCAATTGTTCACATGTAACTAGTTATTGTAACAGAATACATTTTTTAAAATAACCCTCACAAACCAGTGCATGAATTGTAAATGTATAAATTCCAGAGAAAAAAACAGGAATATTTTTAAAATCCTATGGCGGGTTTAGAAATGAAGCTACCTAAAGAATGTTAAATGTGTTAATGAAGAATGGTCAACATATAGTCAACATGTATACAGCAGAAATATCCCTACTTTTAGTCTTTTAGTCAGGGGTCAATACGGGTTGTTAAAACTCCAAACCTGTATACTGCATTGTTGTGTACGTTGTGGTATAATGTGTTATTTGCTGCCATTCCTGAGTGACAGACAGAAGGAGAGGAGGAGGCATGCAGAGTGAGGAGGAGGAGGAAACAGGAGGAAGGACAGACAGACAGAGGCAGAGAGAGAGACTTGCCGGAGAATCAGAATCACTCTCTCCATGGTAACAGAGCTCTTCATCTTGTGAGTCTTGCTGCCGGGGAGAGAGCCAGCATGGAGAAAGTGACAGAGAGAGAGAGATAGCAAGAAAGAGAAGTTATAAAGTAATCGGACATTGTTGTTAATGATGGATCTGGCTATTATTTTAAAGTCCCACTCCTTGCATATTCCATATTTAAACACTTTATTGCATTCACAACAATGTATTCTAAATGATTTGATTGTCAGGTTTTCTAAATGTGCACAATCAATGCTAGGCTCTCCTGTTACCGCCATGGCTCTTAAAAATCAAAGTTGATAACATTCCTGTTACCACAAGCCATGTTATCTGCTAATTCTGAGGATTTTTAGAGATCTCTTTTTAAGATTTATAGAGCAAACACAAAATCGTATAATGTCAAATAAACTGTAACTATGTTGCTGCTGCGGTTAAAGAGGCCCTATTCTTTTTGGGGGGTTTTCACTCTCCTATAGTGTGTTCTATAGGTTTGGGTGCAAGTAAATGGTCTGCAAAGGCTCAAATCCCTGTGTTCCCTCCAGGGGAGTTTTTTTCTCCCATAAACACTCTTTTTGTTGAATATATCAATATTATTATGAAAATTGATAAATACTTTATTTTAACAATACGGTATTCTGTTTTTCACATTTGTTATTTTTTATTAGTTTTTTTCAATCTGTTCGAAATAAAGATGGAAATGAAAGGAACTTCTATTGGCTAGCGCTCCAACACATTGTAAGTAATACGCTAAGGGGCGGGACATCTGTAAGCGGTTGACCAATCACAACAGAGCCGGCCAGCTAACCAATCAGAGCAGACTGGGCTCTGGTTTCAGACAGAGGGGGAAAAGAGGTTCTGCGGGACAGGCAGTATGAGAAAAATAAAGAGCTTTTTGAACTTTAAATCATGGAGACATGTCACCGTAGATTCACGAAGTACTAATTTAACACGGTTATGTTATCTTAGCAAAGTGCATTAGTATGGTAATATGCTTTAGTTAGTACAACTGATGCAGATTGGAGGTATTAAATGATTAAGTATTAACTAAAACCTCATGATGGAGCTAGAGTAAAGGTTAGAGGACCACCAATGTTATTGTTCCTCATCCTGAACAGGGCCGAATCAAATTTCATGACAATCCATCCAATAGATAGACTTTTTACTCTGAGCCTAAGTGAAAGACTGGCCAACACTGTTGTTCCTTCGACAGTGTGACAGTACATTTCTTGCAAAAAAGGCTTGAATGAACTCTGTTGTTGTAAGATCCCAGTGCGGAAACTGGAATTCAGGAATGTTACCGCCTCAGTGAAAGAAGGACACTGTTTGTAAGGGTAGAGGACAGAGAAAAGGCATGGAGAAAGGTACAGAGAAAGAAAAAGAAGCAGCAGGCATCAGGTTGAGCTGGAGGCAGAGTTGGAGACTGTTCTGTATACAGAGGGTCTGCTGGAGGAAGCACAGTAAATCTGCCCTCAGCCACCACTGACAACCAACTCTCATTTTCATGCAGCTCAGTCACATGATCACATCCTGTTGTTCACTTTACACAAAGCCTGCTCACAAATTCAAAACTGGACTGAAACATACTATTGTTTCACCCATTCACCACATACTGTCATTATTGGACTTTAATATTTAAGAGCTTTGCTTTTAAATTGATTTCCCATCAAATGTACTGTATCACAGTCCTGTTCACAAGAAGGGCATTAGTCATGTATCAGAAGACTACAACTCTTACCCTGGGATTCAGCCTCTTGGACACCTGGAGATTAACCCTTTCATGCATGAATTATGAAAGCCTCACTCAGGATTTTTACCAAGTGTTTTTATTGCTCTTGGGGCATGAAAAACAAGATTTTAACTTTAGTTTATTTTTATCTAGTTTTTTCAAATTTAGAAAATAAATGTTTTATATGTCCACTCAGGTGGACAGTATGCGTTTAAAGTCTAAACTGAAAACTTGTCAATTTGGAAACAATTATAAATAAATATTTGCAAACTTAAAATTACATTATAATAACTTAAGTATATTGATTTAAGGCCCAAAAACATATTTCAGATGAAGTATTTTCAAGAAGAACAGTAGCAGCAACAGTATGAGTTTTAGTGTAAATATAGCTAGTGATGCATGACGTCCACTTTAGTGGACAGGTGAATAATCATAATTTCCTGCAAACATAAAATCAATACTTTGACAATTAGTTGTTACTTGATGTCACCAAATGTTGTATACCTGCAGGGAGCGCTTTCCATGAAAGGATTGGCAGGATATCGGCAGGTGACTTGGTCCATCTGGCTTTCTGTCGTTCATCTTGGTTTAGAGAAATGTATCATGCACTTGCACTGACTTTCCACTGAGTGGCAGTGTATGGGACGATGTACTATGTAGTGGCTGATGGTGCAACTATGCCATCAAAACCCATGCATATACAAGGAAACACCTTTTGAAAAGCTGTCCACTGTAGTAGCCTCTATGCGTGAAAGGACACACCATACAGCACATACACACACATTTATAAATGTAGTTTCTATGGAATGGAAACGACTGTATTCATTAGGCGCTTTCACACGGAGTACTTTTCCCAGTATAGTTCCGATAGTTTTTGAAATTTTGCGTTCACACCAAAAAAAGCCGGAACTAGAACTTAGTTCATGAGAACCTTTTCACCCCATTTTCAGTCCCTGCTAGAGAGCAGGTACTTTCATGGGAGAAAAAGGTTCCCATTTCTGATTGGCTGGGCGGATTGCAAACCGCGCCCCGTAAAACTCGGAAAGTTTTGTGAAGCCGCCACATTGTATTTGCTGGCATTAGCATTATTAGCATTAGCATAGCGCACCAACGGAGAGAGACTAACTCATGACAACACAAAAAAAAACATGGGAGTGGTGGAGATGAGGAGGTGTCGGTGTTCTGGCGATTTACTCGGAAGGCTTCAGTAGAAGCTGCTGGGAGTCCCAGCAGCTTCTACAGAAGCCATGTCCAACCACCGGGACTTCCGGACCGAGGGAACTTCCGGCCGGGGACTTTGGGTGGCAGTATACGCCGTGAAGTTGTTTGCAGCCTGCCAGTAAACCCAAAGCAGAAGAAGAAGTAGTGACGTCAGCAGCTTCATTTGCCTAATCCTCCCCCAGGGACTTATTCCGGTGTGAACGCGATCTGCTCTTTAGTTCATCAGAACTAAAGAGTTCTGATGAACTAAGTACTGGGAACTAAGTACTGGGAACTAAGTATCGCAAAGTACTTGGTGTAAAAGCGCCTATTGTCTGATTTCAAAGTGATGGTTACTTTTTCTTTGTGTTGTGACATGTAATTACATTCTGTATGAGGTGACGGTCGGGTGCAAACACAAGAGCTCAAAGCAAATGCAAGAAAGTGGATTCAAATGTTCAAAGCAAATAGAAAACCTAAAACCTGCAGTGATGTGAGAAAAGAAATGCAGAACAGCTGAGCAAATACTGTTTTGTGAGAGCACATTCAAAACCAAGCAACAAAAAAAAGCGCAACAAACTTCATCTCAGAGAACAGATAACTCTCCATGCACTGAGGCTTTTGACACTTCTAATTAATTGCTTTAAAGAGGATTTTGCATAAAATCCACCACCTCCAGCTCTGGCCATTGAAGAGAATTCTCATGGAAGAATATATTTAGATTTTTGTCTAACTCTAGGAATTCTAATATAACAGAAACAAATATTATCAGAATGGCAGACCAGAATCTGGACAGTGTAGTAATATTATGGCTGATCAATTCCACATATTCTGGAAATGTCAGGTAATCCAAATTTAATTGGCTAATTATAATAACAGAAATAAATTAAATACTGGGCTTTGTGATTGATAACAGTTTTGCCGGAAAGTATTTAGCTAATATACCAGCTGAATTGAAAGTTTGTGAAAGGACCTTCTTAAAATATTACTGATAGCTAGCAAAAAAGCAATTTGTCTTGTGAAGGAAGCTCCAACAACAGGAGAATGGACAAACATTGTACATTACTTGCTTCATATGGAGAAGCTGACTTTTTCTTTAAGAGTCTGATGTGATACATTTGACAAATACTGGTCAATATGGGTTCAACACATGAAGAGGGTTGGTACATAATCCAAGGAGAATGTTCTGGTACAATGAATGTGAAACTTCTTCCTGATGTGGGATTCTCTTGCTTAAAAACTCTACTTTACACATATGCTATACATCTTCTGAGAATGAATACTGGACTGAGATGGACATGGATTTGTTGTGAACTCGTTTTGAGGGACGGTGCCCCATGGCACAAGACTAATGGCTGAGGACATATTGATGTGCTGTATAGCCTCTGGTGACCTGCATGTAGTTTGTTAAGTTTTATTTGTAATGTGTTAATAATTTAAAACAGAGTATAAGAAAAATAAATAAATGGGATGAGTGTGTGAACACAACAATGGCGTATAAGTAATTACAGTGTTTCAACAGCTATCACTCAAGCGGGGAAACAAACATGTCCTGTGGCTGAGAAGTGTATGCTGCTGAGAGGCGGAAACAGAAACAAGCTGCCCAGCTTCTCTGAACAATGCTGTGATACAGTACATTCACATGGGCTACACACACAAAGCTCTGCTCACACAAAAGTGCAGACATGTTGCCATTTCTGCGGGTCTTACCATGAAATCTGGTCTTCTCCTAGCCTATCAAAACACAAACTGATGAGAAATACAGTCGACACAGTGTGTGTGTGTGTGTGTGTGTGTGTGTGTGTGTTACCTTGTTGTCCCTGTTTATATCTGACGGGACCGATCCTGAGATCTGACTGGAGATGGTGGCTGCGATCAGCTGTTTACACCACTCTACGTGAGAACCTGTAGGACTGAAGGAAGAGAGAGTTTATAACATATTCACAAAAACTAAACATTTTTTCCAAATCCCTCCCTTTTGTGGTATAATGCTGTTCTGAAACATGCTGGGTGTGTTGAGTTGAATTGGCTTAAATGAAACGGATAAAATGAAACAAACCCAATGTTAAACAGTGTGAAACAGTGTTTGTGTTAAATCAGAGGAAGTGAGAGCAACATAGTGGTGTTTATAACATGTACTGAAGCATTGAATTTACCATGTGAACAACCGTAGCAAAGATTTCTGCCCCATGTAATTATTTAATTATTATATAATATAATTGATTGCATCCATATTGTGATAACAAGTTCTGGACAGTCCAAAGAGACTTGTAAGTAGTCTTGTTATAATGGGATATGTTAAATGACTGCCATATTATGTTAAGATTCAGGTTAGAGAGAAAAAAAAATTCCAATTCTGACAAAATACAGTTTTGTTCGGATGAATTTAGCAAACAGCATGAATTTGGCTGTAAAATGATGCTAGTATATTTGTTTACACCCAGTATTTGGAATATGTTAATATAACAGCCAGCTGCAAGAACAGTTTCTATTCACCATCACAGGAAAAAGTTGTAAGTATTTTATATTTTACTGTAACAAGAACATTGACATTCCATAATATTAAGACTTTTTTTTCATGTCATAATGAAACGTTTTTTCTACATATAAAAGGCAACCAGTGGTTTCACGTTGAGGCCCTGTTTTGCAAAAGTTACCATTCTTCTGATAATGTATGATGAAGAATGATGAAGTAAGCAAGTACAATTTAAAGAGAGGGAGGTGTCAATCAAAAACATGTCGTACACACCTCCACTCCAAGGGCCTAATTAGGCTGAGAAGTGAAAACACCTGTGTAGGTGGACATTTATACATTGCATTTTATATTAAGCTAATATAGTGTATATTATAGTTGATAATTACTAAATATTAAACAAATACAATTTCACAAAAAATGTAGTGATGTGTTTAGGAAAAAATTCAAAAGAAGAGAAACCAGCAGGGATATTGGATTTTTCCTTAACACAGAAAACACCCCATGCCTACTGTTTTATTTATATATTAAACATTTTATTTGTGATAAATATTAAGATAAATATATTATCTATTTATTTTTTCTTCGTTTGTTTAGTTTATTTACTTATTCATTGTACGTTGGTTTGTTATTTTTGGGTAACTAAAAAAGACAGAATTGAATGCTATACAAATACTATCTGTATTTTGTTTTGTTATAGTTAATAGTTTGGACCTTTACTGTCACTGCATCAATAAACATATTAGCAATAGCATCGCATACAGTAACGTTTTGGCGGTAGCTACTAACTATACAGTAAGCTAGCCTGTTACTGAGCTAACGCTAGCCGTTAGCTGTCTGTTAACCCACTGTACACAATATCACTGTTTTCCAACATGTCAGGCTGTCGCATCCTGTTGTTTATTAGTATGAAAATATAGGTTCACTCGCTATTAGCTACTCTATAATAGCTACTGTGACAGTAACTGTAGACCGTCACTTACAACTCCGGTCATAAATATAGTCAATGAATATGCAGTAGCCTTGGCTTATTGGGAAACAGTTGTACGGTTGTGCGGTTTGACATCTGTACTGTATCCAACCCGAATTAAAGATACGAACCTGTGATAAAGGAAATATCGCGACATTTTACGGGGAATTAAATATTAAGGAAGAGCAAGAAAACCGTAAATGCACTACGTGTAAACTATTATATCAGGTCTGCTGCTCACCTCTCCGGGGTTTCACCGGTGTTTGGTCCTGAGCTCGGCAAGCCCCAGGGCTTTCTGTTCGGCCCTGCTGCTTCCGCCGCCCCGGCAGCTCCGGCCTGTTTCTCCATCTGTCTACTGTCCCGGAGGTCGCTAGGGGCGGAGGCGGATGGTTTCCCCTGATATGAGGAGGATGGGGATGAAATTAAACCTCGGTGTGATTCCAATGTCCGCCCTCCGCCGGTTAGTTCTGCCAGGGGGCCAGGCTCTGTGAGATGATTGTGAATGCTTCCTGTTATTTGGTTATTTGTGCTTCCTGCCGGAGACTGCCTCTACCTCGCGCATCTCTTCCTCGCGCTGTAGCTCCGCCCACTTACAACAGAGATGCGAGGATGAGGAGGAAACATCAGCAATATGGGTCAGGCACAGGGGGGGAACATATTCAGATTCTTTACTTGAGTAAAAGTACTAATACTCAGGGTTGGGAGGGTCACTTAAATAATGTAATCACAATAAATAGTTACATGTCAAAAAATGTAATCACTAACCTAGTCGAAGTATGAAAATATAAAAATGTAACCTGATTACTTTCCGTTACATTTGGTTTGTCTTTTTACAAAAATAAAATTCACAGTAATCCGATTACTTATTTTGATGTTACTGCAATCGAATACAGTTACCTTTTTTTGTATTCTGATTACGTAATCTCATTACATGTAATCCATTACCCCCCAAGCCTGCTAATGCACTGTAAAAATCAATTTTAAGTAAAAGCACTGCATCGAGAATCGTAGTTAAGTAAAAGTATTTAAGTATGATTAGGAAAACGTTCTTAAAGTATTAAGAGTGAAAGTACTCAATGTCACTCAGTGACATTTAAGAAACTGGGAAATATATTTGAAAACAAATCTTAATTCCAATACATTATCTGTTAACCCTCTCAGGATTTTAGTTACGTAAATATAATGTTGGATGGTAATCTATACCAAAAAATCATATATCACAAGGTTTTTCCCAAAATCTGAATTCATAAAGTAACGTAGATGAGTAAAAGTATAAGGTAGTATAGAATGAAAATACTTAAAGAAGAAAAGTACCTCAAATGTGTACTTCAGTACTTGAGTAAATATATTTAGTTACATTCCACCAAAGGTCATGCCATCGTTGATTCGACAAGCTTTAGGAAGTTATACATGTTCAGGTCGTTTGGTTATCCTGTCTGAGCACGCTTCATATAATAGCTTTGTTTTGTTCGTGCAGCTATAGTAGCCCACACTTTGATCACTTCCTTTAAGAACATGTCTTGTGAAAACATAAAACTACATCTAACCTATATAAAGAGGAATAAGGTAGTACCTAGTGTAGGCCTACATCATCATTACATTTAAGGAAATGTTAAAAGGGGCCATAAATACATTACTCCCAACCACTAAATTAACTTGCTGCCATTAGCCCCGATTCTTCAGATTTCAGGTTTTCCACCTGAGGTCTGTGCTGTACTACGAAGCCGGTTCAACATAACCTGGATATGTTTGAGTTACCCGGTTTACCTAATCCAAAACAAACGCACTCTCGCTAAACTGTCCTACGACGATGGTTATCAACTCGTTAACTCAAGCCAGCTTTGCCCTATCTAGTTAGGTGCGAGTTCACATGAAAGTGGTGGTATTTGGAGCATTTGACCAATCACAAACATGGACAAGCGTACTGACAGCGCAGCGCGTCATACTTCCTGAATGAAAAGTCAACTATAACTAGAAAATGCATTTCCTGCAGAAAATGAGCTCGTTAAGTGAAAATCCTGCTTCGTAGTACAGGCCTCTGATGTTGCTGAATTATCTCCCATTTAGATACAATAAATATAACTGGCTTTTCCTTCCTGAAATGTAGACACATTTAAAACACAAGAAAAGAAAAATATACAAGTCAGGGTGCAACACTTAAACTTAAATTACAACTTTGAGAGGATTTGGAAATAAAGCAAGCAATCAAATTCATTTTCCTGTGGACTTTTCTGTGAAAATAAACAAATAAAAAGAGAAGAAAGTGGATGATCCATATCCATGTTGTATGCTGGGAGGGTTCCCAACACACCTACCTAATGTACTAAAAGTATCACATAATTAGCACTGCCATATTGATGCTGATCAGGGTTTTAATTATATTCATTTCCAAAGTAAGAGGTGCATACAGTTTTCAGCATCTTCAGTCATGGTATAATGGAATGATTCAGTAAACAAGGACCACCTTGAAAAGCAACACAAATCAAATATCTGAAATTGATCATTAAATAACATATGCAAAGAGCCAGAGTCAGAAATGCTTAAATTAATTTAATCAGTAATATTTACACAACAGGATCCATCCAACAAACTGGAGAGGATATAACATGATTCAAAGAAATACATTTGAAATGTATTCTGATTTCACTTTCCCTTGTAGATGACAAATTATCCTGAAACACATTTCATGTGTATTTATTAAAAAGCAGGCTATATTAATACACAAAACCCTTTCAACTACAATCCCCTAGATTAATAAAAGAGTACATTTGAAATGAACGTTGACAGAGTTCTCAGATTCATTGTGTGAACCGAAGGTTAAAAATCCCCCAGAGAACTGAGAGGAGGATGTCAGGTTGTGACAAGTGGATAGTATCCACAAGCTTCAGTTTTTAATCCTGGGTTAGCGAATACAAACCAAAGAAATGCCCTCAAAAATAAAACAAAACAACTTAACCAATGAAGCAGAAATCCACAATTTATACCAACAATTTCTGAACCGACATTACTTTCTTTTTTTATAAAACTGTAAGATTTTACACTACATAAAATAATTGTATTTTACAACAATAGAACTTTAGACAGTAAAATAGGTTTTGATTGAGGTAATTACATCATGGTGCTTGTACAAAGTAAAAAATAATAAAAATAGATTTTATCTCTTTTTCCCTAAAAACACAACCACCCGACCAATGCACTTTTTATGTTGCTGTGACTTCTTCTGTTTTTTGACCCATTACCCTCAATGAGATCCCGGCTTTCATACAGGACATCAACCCCTTGTCAAAAGTATCCATTTGGTAAACCCTATGTTATTTCACCTCTCTGTGAACATAGGGATCAGGTTGCACTCTGTAACCCACCCAGACATAGAAAAGTCATGTTTGAGATTTGAACACTAGCTGGTAGCCAAAGTCCTATTCTTTCGTGAAACTACGAGATCCAGTGGCCAATATCTGGAAGGCATGGATTCTTAAAAATAATGCGGCTTGAGAAATCTGACTTCCCCAATTGGCAACGTAGTTACGCAACGACAGATGTTATGGACGTTGATCTGCTATGGTGCTGTAAGTGTTGCTGACAAAGAATTGCAGGATGCCATTGAAGCATCTTTCCTAAGCATATAGAACATTTTAACCGGCTCTCATCTTGGCCAACACTTAAATTCTTCTACTTTTTCTTCTTTCATCAGTTCGGAACCTAAAAGGACTAATGGACTTCAGCTCTAGTTCAACCAGTGTTGTCCAACCTTGTTATAGAAAATCAAGAATTTTTAGCTGTTCTGAACATCAATACTGAAAGATGGAACAGAAAGCCAGAGGGGACTTAAATTGTTCAAACATGCATCTAAGATCAGTGCATGATTCTTGGACCTAGTGCATCTCTGTACCAATAGAAGTCGCTGCTGTTATTTATATATGACTGTTGGCTATAAGTTTGACCATCATTTTGAGTTTAAATTTGGTACCGTGCGACCTGTTAAGGAGTCACATAGGACTTAAAGGGGATCAGAGGCTTCCTTAAACTCAGCGTTAGGTACCTTGGCAAACGGCCTTATCCTAAACTCTGTACTTACTCGTGGAATGCCGGCAGTAAACGCCCATTTCCTCCCGCTTCAAACTGGCGCAGACCCATAAACAACAGCATGGCATCCTCCCAATAGCAAAGGATGCAGAGCTTTCCTCCTTTAGAACCCTGAGCTACAGAGCAGTCAATCTCAAACATGACCCAGGACAGCTGAAGTAGGTTCTCTCAGACGAGGCGATTCACACAAGAATCAAGGCACAAATCTGGACATGACATGACACACTTCCCAAAAATGACTTATTGCACCTCATTCACAATTGTCACACTGTACACACAATGCATCATCTCAATTCTTTGTTGCTTCCGACGTCCTAACAACCAAGGGGTAAATATATTGGGGTGTGAGCCTTCGTAACTCAAATTTCTCTCTCAACAGGAAGGCGTTTTATTTCAAGGAATTCAATGTGACCATAGAGAAAATATAATGGGGGGAAAAAGCTCCATAAGAAAAGTCCCATTCTTCTACATCCCACAAAGTGGAGGATACAACAAGTCCAAAAGAAGTGATTTGGTAAGCAACATAATCCCCAGCGTTCGACCCCTAGCATTATATTCATTTGGGAAAGAGGTTTTAATGAAATGATACAAGTATGGGGTCAGGTGGACATGATCGACAGTGGTGGTGGTCCAAGTAGATTTCCAGGTTTGTCTACCCTGCATTACTTTGAACAAATATTCAAGTCGAATTCACAACAAATCAGTGCGGTGAAAATAAAACGGTTCTCCCATTCATCTCAATCTTGGTAGTTGATTTTGGTGGAAGGCCATAGGGGATTCCGTAAAACTGGAATCACCTTTTGGAAAACCCAATGAGAGACTTCGGTGGCCGATCGCATAACCGGTGATCAACGCGCCATTGGTTACAGATGGGCCTTCAGCCAATGAATGTCACTCAAATCGACAAAGTGCCAATCCTACACTGCGATAGGACTGCGCCAATCACTGCCATGCCTGATTTGGTATAAATGCAGCTCCTTTTACTTGGTTTTATTCTCATTTTATGTAACCGACACCACAGCTGGCATCAGCGAAAGAACAGATCCGCTTTGGACAAGTTTTCTTTTTGATCCCTCTCGAAGGGATCGCAATGTGCTGGCAATAGAAATGATCACACTTAAATCCTCTATTGACAGATCTCCAGAAATCAAGCCTGTGGTATTTATTGGGGGCCAATGTTGGGAGACTGAGTTCTACTTAACATTGTAATAAACAGTGTAGTCATCATGACGGAGTGATTGATACGGTACATACATTATTTTTAACAAACCAAAATGGGAGCCCTTAGAGTTAGCAGCAAAATCTTCATATCAAACGATTCTGTTTCTGGCCACACACACACACACACACACACACACACACACACACACACACACACACACACACACACACACACACACACACACACACACACACACACACACACACACACACTCTCTCTCTCAAACACACACACACACACACACACACACACACACACACACACACGTAGACTTTCAAAATAGCACCAAAACGAAAGAATACTAAAGAATGTGCTTTGGACAGGTTGGTTCTCATGTGTTCTAATGGGGAATTTAATGGAAGCCCATTCCAATCAGGAACTAAAATAGTATAAATAAAAGGAAATACTCTAGGTAAGTCCATAGTGATCTATTATGTCAGAATAAGTCATTAGTCAATATTTTCACTATCTTTTTTTTTGCAAAAATATGATATAGCACTAACCTTATTTTTAAAGAACACTTTGATAAAAAAATAAATGTCTAAACTTTGTCTGATTTAATTTAAACCTAAAACCCTATTATTTAAATATTTCATCAATATCTATATTATCATTCCTATCGAATAATGTATTTTTTTATTTTTTGACTTCCATTAAATTCTCCATGTGAAATAATTTTTTATCATTTACTATTACATTTGTATGTTACTTTCCATTTAAAATCAAGGATAATTTCTCCAATTTTTATTTTGTTTTAGCTTTCGCCATCTTTGTTAGGTTTTGATAACCCGTTTTGCACAAATTTCCAAGCTAATATCTTCAGATAAACAGTATTTGCTTTGCTACTCAAAGCTGGATTCCAATTGGACAAAAACATGAGCAGAGAGACCAAGCAAGCAGTTGTAAACAAGTCCATCCAATGACAGTTACCTAAATTAATCAGATAACTGGCAAATGGAGAATAAACCCTTAATTCTGACTTAAACTTCCCTTTCTAATGTAAAAACTGACCCACATGAAACAAGGAGGGGATATATCTACACCTGTCCAAAAGGCACACGTGCTATGAGATTAAGTTTCATATGGGACTTTTGTTGTGGATAGAATATCTAGAATCACTCAGGTTTACAAAAAAAAAGAAAAGTAAAGGGGGGAGTGAGAGTAATTGGTTAATTTCTGCCCCCTGTCCCTATAACTGGTGCTGGTTTCAAACATCTTGGCATGGTAAGGCTATCATGGACCATGGCTGACTTTCATTCAGGATCTGAGAACAGAAGCACAAGAGGGGATCCAGGATCAGGGGCCAGCATCACTTCATGTCCCTAGATCATCTTGAGCATATGAAAATATTTCCAAAGTTACATTTATTAAAGCATATTACTGATTGATTCTAGCCAAACTCTTTAGTTGACTAGAAGTAATTTTGCTCTCTAGCTTAGGAAGTGCTGAACAATACTGCTTAGGTGAGCTTAGCTGTTAGCAGTGGCTAACCAAACGTGACAATGCTAGCTTTCATCGTCAGTCGATAAGCAACTAATTCCACATCAACCATCCAAATCTGAAACGCTTGATATATACAGCCGTTCCTAACACTTCCTCAAAGCAAAGGGAGCGGTGCAGCGCAGCAGGAAGTAGTGTGCGAAGTGAGAAACTTGATTAACATTTCGCTTTGTTCACACAGGACACCAACGCTTGTGTAGCGGGACAAAAGTGTAGCCTCGCTTTGTGCGCACTGTGAAATGTGTTTCCAAGAAATGTATTGTCTCCCTTTTTCATAACTTTTTTTCTGTTGACCTCATATTATTTAAACAATCTATTCTTACGCTTGACAAAAATAATCTGAGGTGCATCTCAGGAATTTTCATCGGGGAGTGGAGTTGGCAGTTCAAGATCTTGTGAAAAAGTTAAATTGATGATAAAACTTTGAGTTTAAATGTCAAAAAAACACAAATTTGACTTGAACCTGTGCATGAGAGACTCCACGGTTAGCCTAGCATAACAAATGAAAGCTAAAGGGATCTATCTATAGAAGAGAATAAATGAACGCCTATACACATCCACTGTGTGCCCTGTGTGTAAAAGCCCTTGGACCGAAAGCCACTGAATGTCTTTAAGGCTTCCCTGTGTGGTGAGTGTGTGTGTGTGTAAAAAATATCTTGTGACAAGGCTGTACTGTGACATATTGCATAAATCACCCTCACATGTTAGAATAACCCATCAAATCTAAACTCTTGTAAGCATTCTTTGTTACGTATTAGTTCCCTGTGTGTGAGACTGACAGGAATCAGAGGACATAAGTGCAAGTCAACAAGTAGATGTGTGTGTGTGTGTGTGTGTGTGTGTGTGTGTGTGTGTGTGTGTGTGTGTGTGTGTGTGTGTGTGTGTGTGTGTGTGTGTGTGTGTGTGTGTGTGTGTGTCACCAGCCCTCAGAGGGGAGTTTGTAGTTGTGTGTATTGCTGTGGTGGTGTGGAGGAGGTGGAGGAGGAGGAGTTGGGGGTGTTAGCCAGACGGGAGGAAGGGGAGGAGTCGGACAACTGCAGCTCCTCCAGCTTCTTCAAGTACTCGTCTCTGAGCGCCAGCAGCTCCTTGTAGCGCTGCTCCACCGGGCTCTGCTGCTGCAACACACATACACACACACAACACACTCTTTACTAAGGCGTCACAGAAAGATGTTTTAAAAAAAGAAAATGTATTGAAGCCATGTTGAGGTTTGCGATTAAAGCTTCACATATGGGTCATCATTTATAACAATCACACTAAAAATAGTTTTAAAACCAACAAAACCCCTGATTTGAATGAAGTTCACCATCAGAATACATGAGGAATTCATCAACTTGATTTAATAAATAACCTGTCAGTTTGTGTCTCCCTTGCAAAATAGTACATTATTCATGAAAATGCGCTTTTTTAAAAGCTGAACACCAACAAATATTGAGTTATAGTTGAATATTTTGGTGATATAAATATGTTGTGAATTATGTAAAAGATTGAATCCATCTTTGGAAATAGATTTTGGACTTTTGGACTTATGCTAGAGATAATACATCCTGACATAAGCTGCTCATAACCAATTGCCCCTTGCGGGATTAATAAAGTTGTTGATTGTTGATTAGGATATATGTGTGGCTTTATCTTTACCTGCAAATGTGAGGGTATATAGGGATTAAAACGCAATGGACAGTTACGAAAAAAGGGTTGTTAAATGTCGACAACAAAACATGAAATCTAGCATTTTAGCACAGCCTGGTTGTCTATAAATATCCTTGGGAAAATCTATACTAAATAAAATAAATATATTTGTTCAAGTCTCAATCAAAATAGAAATGTCCCATACCATTGGAACTTTTTTCTCCAATCATTTAAACTATTCTTTTCATACAGTGGCTATAAAAATGGTGACGCCTGCTCAATTGTCTATTCCTTTTAGTTATGGAATGATGACACAACATTACAAAGTTGTCTAGTAGTCACCTACTGCATGCCCTTGTTCTGATCAATTAGTTTCACAAAGAAGAGATAATTACTGCCGTAGATACAGTATCAAACAAACCCCTTTAAAACTGATACAAATCAAAATTGGTCTGGGGCCTAGTGCAGATCATAGTATAATATAACACACAGAGGCCCTCCTACCTGTTGTCGGATGCGGGGGTTCCAGCGGATGTAGTACGTTACCCACAGCTCTAGGTGGCGCATGCTGGCGACGGGGTAGAGGACCCTGCCGGACTCGGGGGTGTAGAAGGGGTTTAAATACATCTCCGTCTTACTGTTGACCAGAGACCACAGAGACACCGTCTTCAGCCTCACCTCCTGGACAGAGAGAAGAGAAAGAGAGACATTTAGAGATAATCCTCTGCAAGTTAAAGTCAGCTTTAGGGAGGGGCGGGAGTGTTAAAGTCTTACGTGCTGGTCTCGTGCACTCTCACAGTTGTAGAGGAAAGTCCCGAAGCAGCAGCTGTAGAGATGATCCAGGATGGTCAGCAGGAGGCGCTCATTGAACTCAAAGGCTGTAGGAAACTGAGAGGAGAGAAAATTCAGCCTCCTCATCTCAGCAGAATGTAGGCGTGGTCTTTAAGATAAATTCCTTGTTTTTGTTATACTGTGAATAGCACCGCCATGAAGTGATAAAGTGCGCCTACTCAGGGTCCTTTTTTTGTTGCGGTGCAATTAACTGCACACGCAGAGCTGCAACCTGTGTTCTTCTGCAGCGAGCACCATGTTCAGGTGAGAGGAAGGCGTGAAAATGTGGGAGGTTTGTTCAGACGAGGCAGAACAAATATATTTTGGTTGATAATGAGGCTCAGACGTCAGGATTAAAGATGCTAAGATTCAGACAAACCTCAGATCCAGTAGATTTGTTTGAATCAGTTCAAGCAGGAACATCTGCTAATCCTTAATATAAATAAAAATGAATTAATAGATATATTAATTAAAGCTATGTAATAAAGAAAATCAATAATAATAAAATGTATTTAGAGGCACCTTTTAAAGCACCCCAGCACACCTTAAAATGTGAAAAACATTCTAAAAAAAGGTTAGAAACAGCGAAAAAGGACAGTAACAGAGAACATGTAGGGAAATGTAACTCACTACAGTCTATTGACTCTCCCAGTACGAGTTGTCCACAGCTGCTTGATTTGGAAATTAAAAACCTCTCCTTCAGCTCATTAAATCCCAGCACGTTTCCAAAGGCAGCAGGACACACATAAAACTACAAATGTGCAGTCTCTCTGCTGTGTTTATTAACCACCACAACCTCCAATATATATATTTATAATCCGCCTTTTTGCACTTTGAGCTGCTGCACTTACATATACCAAAATAGCAAAATAAGACTCCCACGAGTTCTGCTCACCAAAGACATTCTACTCTGCTTCCACGATTTAAAGAGTGCAGCGGTGTCTTTTCAGGAGGCTGTTTGTGGCAATTTCATCTAATTAAACCCCAACTGCCGGCTCTAGCTATAAATATGGAAAAGCCTCTCATCTTGGTTTAAATTAGAATATTATAGCACCCATGTGACGGATGATAGAAATGCCTTTAAGGGTACATTCCCACACGATAATATGCAGCGTGATGATTCAGATACATACCTGTTTAGTCATCTGCCACACGCAGTCGATGAACTGCACGAAGATGGGGGATCGGTCCTGATCCGCGTGGTTCTTGTCGCCATGACCTATCCTCTACACACATACACACACGCTTAACTAACACTTTTTTTAGATATAGGGACAACATTCAAGATTGAAGCTCAAATACTTTATAGTGAAATGTATACTGTAACAGGTGAACTGTAGTTTTGGCAATACAAATCTTAAGTCTCCTACAGTGCAACATACCGAGAAATAAAGCTAGTGCAAGAAGAAATAGAAATAAAATAGTGCAAGAGAAGGGTGCAGGGGACCCTAAAGTTCAAATAAATTTAGATAAATAAGAAATGAATGTAAAACTAAATACTGTACAGTGGAATAAAACAATGCGCATAGAATTGTGCAGTGATGATCAATGTTTTGTAGGCTGACCCAGAATGTAGTTTCGCCAGGGGGTCCCTCTACAAAAGCAATGGTATTTCAGTATGTTGCAGAAAATAAGATATGTGGCACTCACACATTCAACCTTTTAGCAGGATCATTTCCACAAATTAACACCACTTTGTGATTCTTAAGCCTAAATACAATTGCCCGAATTAAAAAGCTAACACTAAGCTAGTGAATTACAAATGACGTATTATATATCGGAAAACAAAACGTGAACAACTCTGCAACTTGTGTTAACCACAGACCTTATTTCAGGCTTCTAACCACAAACACGTTACAAAAACCTCTGACTTGGAGACGAAGGAACCGGAAGTGGTCAAATGGTTAGTTATTTCTGGGTTTCAGGACCATATAGTAATAACATAAATTAATATGTAGACATCAGGCTTCATACACTGTTTCACCATTGATTTTCCATGACTTCTCCATGACCTTTAGCTAATTTTCCATGACCAAAAAAAGGGCTCTTTCTCAGCGGTACCACTGAAAAATGGTTTATTTTAACATGGAACAGTAAAATAAGGTCTGCATATGAAACATGTTGTGCCTATCTAAAACAAATCAAATAGGCTTACTAGCTTCTACAGGCTAAAGCAACTAAAATCTCTCACCAGAAAAATACCTTGTCAGTTAAATGCCATTTTACGTTTCTTTACAATACGATACAGTATTTATTAGATGGATAAAATATAAATTATATTTGATGCAACTTTAGTTAAATTTCCATGACTTTTCCAAAACTTTGGGAAACATATTGTTTTCCATAACTTTTCCAGGGCCTGGAATTAGCTTTTTGAATTTCCATGACTTTTCCAGATTTTGAATGACCGTAAGAACCCTGAGACATTCAGCTTTGCTAAATGGTAATTATTGATATTAAAAAAGACAAAGCTCAACCGATTGATTCTAAAGAGAGGAGTTACTTACCGAAGCAAATTTGTGCCCAAAGCTGATCCACTCCTTCTCGATCAGCACCTAAAACAACACAGAGCTTCACTTCCTGTCCATTCATCTCACTAAAGCTTCAACAAGAGACATTCCATTACTGTTAAGTGCAGTGAAAGCGCTGCACTGGTGCGATTGAAGCTAACTGTGCTGCTCTCTGGTGTGGATGAGCACTCTCCTGTCATTATGCTGCTGTGCTGTTACTGACCTGGAAGCCTCGGAGCGTTCTGTAGTGACTGTCCAGCATCAGCATGGCCAGAGAGGTGAGCTGAGCGGTGCGGTCCCAGCCGTCGCTGCAGTGCACCACCACAGACTGTCCGCTGGAGACCTTGTCTGCTACCTGGATGGCTCCTGACAACACCAGCTGCACACACAAAGGACTTTTAGAAACCAGTATTTGTATTTATATATTTAAGAGGGGACAATGCACATTAATTAACATGAGCACTTGAGTCCAGCATTTAAATGTGCCAGATTTAGCCATAGGGGCCAATGTTTATCTCCACTCCCTGGCATGGCATTGAAATAAAAACAAACAAGAGCAGATCATCACAGAAAAACACTTGAGCCCAATGACAGCACATGGGCACAATTGACTCACGATTGCAGCACATATGCCCAGTTAAAAGCCCTTTTTAAAAACCTATTAATACGCAACAAACACAAAAGCCAAATTACAGCCTATAAAGTAGTTTAATAAAAACAAAGTCATTTGAGTTTAGGGGCCGGACTAGTACAATCACAGCATAATAACCTATAAATAACGTGAACTCCAAATTGTTCATTAGCATATTCTGGAAATGTTCACATTTAAAGAACAAATCTTTTAACAAAATATTATGAACAACCTGATAAATAAATCCAATTCTATAATTTAAAGAGCCTGTGACACGAACCCAACAACTGTTGTGCAATGAAATAGTGGGCTACTAGTAATCTCGAACCGTCAGTTTAAATAAGAAAAAGCGATACCGTTCCGATAAATATCAATAATTTCGAACATCGCGGGAAAATTCCTTCGACTCATTTTGAGGTTTTGGGGGAAGCCGGAAGTGACGTCAATGCGGGAACGCTTCACTGTGCGGCGTGAGAGCCAAACACGGACAAAGTGTGTTGTCATGCGTAGAAATGGTGAATTACTGAGTTTAGGCACGTTAATAACGTTTTAATGAAGTTGACTACAGTATATTCATATTTGTCAGTGCTTTCAAGTCAATTCGGCGAACATAAACATAAATGATCGTGGTGAAGATGATGATTAAATTAGGATAAAAAATCGGTAGTGAGAGCTGCTGAATTTCCTCCCGTCGGATGTGATATAAAAACAAATCGATTATTTTTGTAGTTGTAAACTCAAGTGGATGAAACTACATTTATTAGTGCTTTCATGTAAATTCGGCGAGCATATGATACATTAAATGATCGTGAGGATGATGATTTAAAAATATTTTGTTTGAGCCGGTCTGCAATTCCTGATGAGAAAACAAACCTTAGCTTTTTGTAGTTGCAGTCAGTGGTGTAGTGGGCGTTGGACGCGGGGGTACGCCGTACCCCCACTTATTTGAAGCATGATTTCTTTTTTTAATAGTCTAATACATCTAAAATCATTGCCAGTGTTATCAGTTGCAAGTGTGTGTTTGTTGTAATAATGACGAAAACATAATAGGCAGATTTCACAGTAATTATAATAAAAACGTAGCTCAAGCATTTATGCAACTTGATTTGAAGCGTGTGTGTGTGAGGGGCAGAACTGTGTGTGTAGGGTGACCAGGTATCCCGCACTGTGCGGGACTGCACACACAGCATTTTTATTATTTGTCCCGCGTCCCACACATTGAGACTATGTCCCGCATTTGAGTGATAGTCGCGCAGAAAGGCCGCCTTACACGAGCACTGAATAGGCTGGCCGTGGGTGAAGCCATGGCCGGGTAGCCCTAAGCAGAGCTTACGGTTAGCAGGAGGCGGTGACGTGGGTCCGGGTGGGTGCATTTAGACAGTTGCCCCTCTCGGAGCGACCCCCCTTTGCCACCCTGTCACAGGGCTAGCCTCACCCTTAATTATTATTATTAGGGCACGGCTAAACGTAATTAAAGGGGTTGTAACACCATTTTTTTTTTTTGTGGTGCAAAATTAGGTACAACCACATTGATGTTGGCTCACCACATCAACCCCTACAAAAATGCCCCCACCGCCCCAGACACCTGCCCTCCTGTGACCGTCTGTGATACCTGCGCGAGCACTTGACAGTATGCTCCGCGAACCCTGGAGACACGGAAGTCGCGTTAAATGTACTAGCAAAATCTGTTATATTATTATTTCCCGCCGTGGGCAACCGGCGCGACAGTCGNGAGGGGAGTTTCCACTGCTTGCTACGATAAACCAGGTGTATAATGACTAGTAAAGACAAATAATTAACAAATAAATATCTGTATTGACACAGCAACGTGTACACTGGTGTTATTAGACTTGGCTACAGACTTAGTGCAGCTGTAACTGATTGCAGTTCCCACTGCTAGTGAGATGCTAAGGTTTAATTTATAAATTAGGCAAAGGACAGTTGCCCCATGCCTTCAGCAGCAGCAGGCCATTCACTTTGATTTTATCCCGTTATGAAATGTCATCATTTCGACAATAAAGAAATGATACATAAACGTTATCTTGCACGTTTTATCGAACCATCTCCGTTTCTAACTTTCAATATAATTTTAAAAAGAGATCTCTCTCTCATCTGCGTGCGGGGGCGGGGCCTCAAAGATATGCTGCTTCGCTGTGCACACAGTTCTGCCGGTAATGAATATTACATTTTTGTGAGGAAACTTTTCCACCAATAATTCCAATAAGTATTCCAAAATCTATTCACTTCAGGTTTACGAAAGTAACTGTAATCAGATTAGTTGTTTTTCAAATGTAACGCGAGCTGAATACAGTTAGGCTACTTGATTTTTGTATTCTGATTACGTAACGCCGTTA